ATCTGTATCACCAACATGTTGCATTGGCTATCTTGTCGAGCTTGAATTCAGAAATCTGCACCTCAAGGAGATTTTTAAGACTTTCTGAACTGTAAACAGACAATTATATACAGGATAAGAAGTAGGCCTTACAATTTCTGCCCACGGATTTCCTTTAACCTGCTGCAGCATGCTCTGGGCTTCAAACAAGCTGTCTATCAGGAGAGAGGAGAAAATTACAAGAAATTGTCTCCCCAGAATGATTCTTTAGATACACAATCTTTCTTTCATAAGATACAGAGAGAAAATCTTCTGAGTGCAGCAACCTAGCTCAAATTAGCCAAGGCACCGGTTGCCAAGGAAGGGTCATGAAGGATGAGCCAGGAAGGCCCGGGTATGGTGGGCAGGCCTCCCTGACAGTAGTAAATGCTAAGGGAGTAGCAGGGAGCCAGACTGCTGACCCTACTGACTTTCTTCCTGTGTAATGTACACAGTATATACATCGGCAGTAAATTCAGTGTCGTATTATCAGTGCAGAATAAACTCAAGTTTCAAACAGAATTTCAGCCAAAATCCTTGGACACTATACAAAGCGGCCATTTAAATTCATGCCAATGCAGTAATCATTGACAAGTTGCAATCTGAAGCCTTTCCAAGACTTGGCATTGCTGACAAGCCATATCCATAGAGGTATGGTTGCATAGGCCTGTGAGATCACCTGCACAGAGAGCTCCACGTGTGTGCAGTTACTCTTTGAGAATAAGACTGAAACTCCTAGTTCCCTTTAATGTCCATGAATCTGTACTTCACACTGCAGCAAATGACTAGAAATAAAAATTTTCCTCTCTTAGAAGAATGATTTCTTGTTTCTTTGATAAAGCCCTTGTGTTTCCCACAATTTTGAAAGAAAAGCTCAGGTAAAATATACAGTTACCTAACCCTGAGGTAGCCGTACCCTTTCCAAAAGCACATTAGAATGCCTGGAAAATCCCCCAGGTGATCTTGGATGTGTTAGAATTGGAGGACCCAAAACAGAAACCAAATTCATTCCCTACTAATTGCACAAAGCTTTGGCTGTAGGGCCCACATGCTAGTTAAGTGCATACCTACACTGGCCACCCATTTCATACATCCAGACCTGAAAAATTCCGTCCTCTGACCTGTTCGTGACATTCTATAACACTACAGAATTTGGACTACAGTACTTACTGCAAATGAGTTGGAGGCTAGTACTGAAAACATTCTTATTCGGAGATGGGGAATAAGGAACATATACAACTGAGAGAAAGAGTCAGATTGTCTCCTGGGGCGAAAGCAGACCCTGCAAATCCCCTTATGAGAAAAAATATATATATTAATAAAATGTAATAAATCAGAATTATTCTGCTGTGACTATGTTTAGGCCTATAAACATTTTATTACCTGACCATAAACCTACCTTGAAATGTGCTCACCATCAATTCCAGCCTAGGATAGTGTCTTAATGGGCTGTTATATCCAATATTAACATTACTTTAGTATCTTTAGGGACACAGAATCATCATTCTTCAGAATATGAGTTAGAAACAGTTGAATCATTTTATCCCTTAATCTGTTATTTCCTAATTGAAATTAATTAAATTACACTAATGTTGTTTCATCTCTCCACATAGCTACAATACCAAAAAAATGTAAAAAATAATCCCCCACTGACTCCCTTCTTTCTAAGGGGCTTGTGTGAAATATTGCAAGTATATACACCCAGACACAGTGCTGTTAGCTATTTGGAGACTTGATGCTGGATAAATCTTGCAAATAAATGCATAAATAATATATTAGTGCCCTAGGTCCCTCTTTCACCAAATTTATACAACACAAAAGTGATATGGAGGACTAAGAGTAACTGTAATATATGTAAATACCTAAATTGGATAATTCAGGCAGAAAAATATATTGTAGCTTGGTACTTATTATTTAAAATTTATGTTTTATGCATTTCCATTGCCTGAGTTAACATATATCTTAGTTTCTACAATCTCATATCTCCTACCATAATCTGTCCTTAAAGTATTGTACAAAATATCATGCATTAATCCACAAAGTTAAGCCTGTGTGTTTGTTTGTACTAGCCATCCCAAAATAGAGCTACGTCTCATAATGAGCTGTTTTCCAACAGCATGATAGAGTATTTTTAAATTGGTTTTGACAAGCTTTTCAGAGTCTGACTTCTCCTTATTGCTGGTTGCCTATATCCACGCACATCATGGACACTACTGTGAGCTCTGAGTGGAAGTCTTGAAATTTCCTCTTGTTTAACATCAATGACCTGAGCTGCACAACATTCTCCTTAAACTTGCTGAGAAGAGCTATAGTTGATTTCTTCGGTGGATGCACTCTATTTTCTCACTTAATAGGAATGGATAAGAAATGAAGTATCTCTGTTTAGCTCTACAAAGGGTGATTTTCCAGTCCCCTTAATGCATTCTTTTTGGAAAGAGAGGCCTGGAAATCATTTCTTGCTATGTTTATAACTTGCTCTTTATTTTCAGGGTTTTTTACTCAATGCAGCTGTAGTGTTAGAATGTGTGAGCTCACTCATTTTCCTAAGGCAAATACAACTTCCATCATAGCCATGGAATCAATTTCTCCTATATGCAAGAGATCAGTTTCATGATCATGTGGCAACTGTTTGACTAATGAGAAACATGGAAATTTTCTAGTCACTAGATTTGGAGAATATGCAATTGTCCCAACACCTTTTGGCTCTAATTTATCTACTTCTCTCTATCTGCTTCTTTTTCCATGGGAAGGGATAATATGTTTTAGTTATCTCATCCCATCTGGAAATTATGGATATATTAGTGCTAATATCATTCCTACCTTCAAAGAGTCTAAGTTTGAATGATATCATTGCATATATTTGGAGGAAAAAGTATTTAGTAGTGGTTTTCAAGTAAGAGTCTTAGTTCTAAAGACTAGTCTACATTTCTATTTGAAAGATATGTCTGTGAGAAGTTGGTTTATCAATTTTCATTTTAATTCTGACTCTATATCCTATTATCATTTCATTTCTTCTTTTCCTATATCCTCTGTTTCCCCAACTGTCATAAGAATCTTTAAGGTATAGTCCGTAAAAGGAGTTTATTTTATCCAGAAATGTAATTTACAATTCTTTTGTGAAGGCTACTCCTGAAACTCCTTCTGCAGCAGAAAATTTCCTAGTCCTTGCAAGAACAAATATCATCTTCACTGTGACATGAAAGGAAAAGTTGAATAAAGAAGTATGGAAATGAAGAAAACAGAAAGGATTGATAGGCAATTGTTCCAATAGCAAAGAAACACCACGGTGAATAGTGGGAGAACAATGATAGTGGGTTTGTTTCCATGACTGTTTCATATTTAGTTGAATCAAAATAACACACAGAATGTACTCCTTACATCAAGCTCACAATTTCAATTCATCACACAGATAAGACATTAACATATAACCAAACGAAAATAAAGCAGTGGGGTAGGGGATAATTGAGAAGGAGGCTATAGGAAATGTTCAATAAACCATATCTGAATTGGATGGGTCACTGGGCAGAGGTTAGCAGGAGGTTAGTTGAGTTATTCGACTTGTGCCTTGTACCATTCTGATAGTTATACACTTCTATTGATGAGCTAGACCAACCTGGTGTTCTTCTCTCTGTCCACACTCTTTACTTTGTGCTTTTCTTGTCATCTACTGCATTTACATTCTGTGCTGATTAATTATGTTCGTGTAGGAGGCTGTGAAAGCCAGTGAGAATTCCATCTAGATTTCTTGTCATAAACTTGTCAACACCTGGCTGGTTTGTTCTTCACCCTCGAGGGTGAGCCGGCAGATCTTTGATGCAGAAAGGCAGGCTCCATGGCAATAACAAAAGCCAAATGTAAGCCCAGGGGTGTTAGTGTGGTATGACTTGCAGGTAACAGTGAGGGGAAAAGGGCCGATTAGGTTTCATACAAGTGTGCTGCCCATACACATTTCTGGTGTGGTTTCTGATTCCTAGCACTTTTAGGTGATGAATAATTGACACCCGTGTATGGTGGAGCACTATAATTGTCCCCATCACTGAGGAGGAAATTGTCTTGCACTCTGGAAAGGCTCATTTACCGTGTGTGTATCTTTGCTGTGTATCCAGGGCTGCTGTGAGGGCCATTTGCTAATTATCCGGAAGAGCTCTTATGCTCTGATGAGATCTTTCGGAATGCAGGTATCTATGAAACATCCATGATACTTTCTCCATATTTTCTACAACACTTGGCAAAGGGCCAGTCCTCTTTGGTCATCTAATCCATCTTTTCTGAGCTAGATGGGAAGAGGACGATGCCAGGAAAGGGGCACTCTGTTCGGCCATAATTCGGAGGCCACATCCACCCAGAAGAGAACCTAACTTCACAGGATTCTCACATCAAAATAATAATTTAAAAAAGTCATAAAAATGTTGACAGATCTTATATATGTATTTAGGACTTTTACTATTTAATTGGCTCCACACCTATGTTAATATTAAATTCTATGACTATTTGTCAAAATGGACCCATAACTGATAATATAGCATAACTATGTTGAACTTAATTCTTGTCTAGTTCAATGTTTTTCAAATTAGAATGAAACTTCTCGCTAGGCCAGATGACATCTACTCCATCAGCAAACTCAAGACCTCCCAGCACAGTGCTGTCCTGTTCAGATATCCCTACCTGTCCAAGCCCTCCACCCCATCCAAAATCCTGGAAATGGACTATGTGTCAAGCACTGTGTTTGATGCTGGAGAACAAAGGTAGAATATTTTTCCAATGAGGAAGACATATAATATTTACTTTGTTTTAAATGTTAAGCTAATGTGTATTAAAAAACTGCTAAACTGGTGTGGTCTAGCAAATTTACACACAGATATATGTGGAGGTTTATTCTAAAGGAGGTCGAAGAGTTGACCCGATGGGTAAAGTAAAGTTATGGAGTGATAGGGAAAGCTTTTAAGCAAAGACAAGTATGTTTGTAAGACATCTTGACGTAGTTAGAGAATAGAAATGACTTTTTTACTTAAAGGGGAAATACAGCACATTCATTAAGGGGCCAGACGCTAAGATCCGGTGGTGTAGGTTTAAATAGTAACTCCATCATTTATTTGGGGTGACATATTTCACCTTCTTGCTTCAGTTTCTTTGTCTGTAAATTGAGAAGGACAAGGTATTATAAGGATATATTTTTGTAACAAAAATTAATAAATGTAGCTATTGTTCTTCAAGTTAAGTAAAGGCATTAGTGAGACCACACACCAAGGAGAGCCTGGAGAGGTGAACAGCGACGTGCTCAGAATGAAAGGAGCTCTGTATTCCTTACCAGGAAGGGTCTCCCATATGTGGTTGATGGGAATTTATGCTGGAAAATTGGATGGTCATATTCACAGCATTCTGACAGGTAAATAGAAAAGAAACACAAATAACTAACGGAGGGTGACTATCTTAATGTTCTGCCTCCAGCGACTGGGTGAATTGTAACCATTAACAGCAGAGGCGACATGAAGGGTGCTGTTTGACTCATTGGGAAATAAAATGAATTCAATTTTTATGGAGTTTAAAGTGTTGGTGGGGTATTGGCTGAGGGTCAATGAACGCTTCTGTGCACAGCCATCTTAGAAGACTCTAGAATAATGTCCAATAGATACCTGCAGGTGGTCTCAAATGCAAATTACCTGCTAAATACAGACACAAGTATAAATGATAATAATCTTCATTGTATATTTCATTTAACACCATACATTGGAAATAATATTTCATTTTGTAATCAATATAAATCGTTGAGATAGTCTGCATTTTTTTCTGTCAAATTCTTAAAGTTGATGTGTATTTCATTCATACCTGAGAATTCTTAAGCCATCTTTCAAATGTTCATAGCCTATGTGGGTCAGAACCCACTGTACAGCTCAGTGTAGTTCTAGAAGATACTAAGGAGAGGATTTATACATTCTGAAATTTCTACCTGAGATCTTCTTGGTACTGTTTAGGTACTGAGACTTCAGTGGTAAATAACACAGACACAGTGTCTCCTTCACTAAAACTCTGAGTTATAAGCCTTTTACTGGTCTGAACATTTTCTCTGTGGAAATGAATAAAGACATAACCTCCAGGTAGACCATCTCATCCCAAGGATGACAGAGGCCAGGTGGGATTTCCTCTCAATCCTAATCCGTTGTGTATTTCAAACTACCTAACACCACACATAGAAACTGTGTTTCTTACTTTTCTCTCATTGTAAGACAAAATATTCAATATCTAAAATTAAGGAAGACAAAATTTTTACCTAACAGTTTGTGGAGATTTCAGTCCATAATCAACTGGCTCCAAGATAGAGGGGCAACAGTTCATGGCAACAAAAGATGGCAAAAGCAGCAACCAAAAGGGGAGGAGCAGGAGAGCAAGCCTCTTTCCCTCCTTATACTGTACGCAGATTACCTGCCCCAGGGTGGGTGCAGCACTGACACTTGTAACCTTACACCATGAATAAATCAAAAGCTCTAGAAGTCCACCTCCATGACTTCATTATCTTTTGGGGGGTGGGACATCTAGACATAAACCATAACAGAGACCCAGGCAAGAAAGAGGGGACTAATTCAAAGAAAAGGGGCTTTAATATATTATAATGACAGAAACATATTTGAGGGCACTTATTTATTTAAAGAGCAAGAGAGTCCCTGAAGTCATCACACACACACACACACACACACACACACACACACACACACACACACAGCTTGACTGGTAATAAACTAATTCAATAAATGTGTTTGTATCATGAAAAAGCCCGAATTTGTTTGTAAACATAATCAAGACCAATAAAAGTTCAGTAATTTACATGTTTTTACTTTGAAACTGAACATAGAAATGTAAACTTTGACTTTCTCTTAAGCAGAAAAATTCTATCCTTTCAAAAGTTTTCAAATCAATCAGTGTAAAAGAATAGAATTAACTTAGTTTCACCAACTATCCAGTTTTCTCCTACTCCCACAGCCTACCATAATATTGGCTAAAATTTATGTAGTAGTCTTTCCTTATCATGATTTTGGCCAAAATTTACATGTTTTACCACAGTCAAATCCATACTATAACCCTATGCTCTAGATAACTATATGCATTTTGCAGTCTACTGAAGCCCAAAGGGATTTAATAAACACCATAGGATCATAAAAATTTTGAATGGCAAAACTCCAGTTATATTTAAAGCAAACCTGACACCAAAATTTTTGCTTTAACTAAAACTCCAAGCCTTATGCTTGTAACTTCACATTTAGTTTCTATTTGTAATGATGAATTCATTTAAAACAAAGATGTGGAAATGAACTTAGATACCATCTAGTGTCTATAGATCATTTAAAATAAACACAAAGTGCAGGTTTGGAAAATAAATTAATCCACCCCTTCTGAACTTTAGTGTGCATTCTTACAGCTATCTTTCCTATTGTTCTGTACCATACAATAAAGCTCTTTTCTTAGCATATACATTTAGTAAACATGGGGGACCAACTCCATGAATTCTTTGGCAAATATACATAACCATAAAAACACACGTATATGTATATATGGGTATCAATGTCTAGTCTACATATTTCAAAAAATGCAGAATGTTGGAACAGCAACCCACCTGTCAAGACATAACAAATTAAACACATTGTGGAGGGAATTACATATCATTACCAATGACATGGGCAGAATAGATGAGTGTCCTTTAAATACTGCCTGTCAGGGCCTACTCCCATCATAACACCCAGTGTAAATAGTACTCAGCCAGCTGCCCGTGAATGTAGCCAATACTGCTTGTTAATGCAAAAGTCTGATTGCCAAGATTGCTATTTCCAAGCACAGTGATCAAAAATTGTATATGAGTTGCCAAAGTGAGCATGTGTGATCAAAAGTGGCAAGATGAATTGAAATTGTATCTTCCCTTCAACCAGGCTATGCGTTCCTTGTCTTTATTGATCCCATCTCCATGTAGAATGAACATGTGGTAGTGACTATTTTAAGAACTACTACTAGCAACATAAAGGAAGAAAACAGACTACTCTGGGTATCGACTATCTAAACCTCTGTCTTTATCACACTAGTCTCCTACATCTGCTCTTACCAGCACAATAGCTTTACACCCATCAAGCAAAATAGAGACACAGTGAATTGTAGCTGCAGGAGAGCAAAAAGACCAAACAAACTCCAAATGCTCTGGGGAGTACAGTAGGATAGCTTCTGATTTGTTAACCAGTTCTTTGCTTGCTCCGAGATAAATCCATTGCTGGTATATTGGGGAAATGAGATCTCTAGGGAAATGCTTTCAAACAGTTGCAGTTATGACAAAAAATAGAACAACACTCAAAATCAAAGCAGTGTTCATTGACAATTCTGAATGTGTTTGATCAAGAATATTCTCTGGGGAAAAAGTATAGAAGTTGAGAAAATCTCAAGTGCCATCTTTGCCTAAGCATTCCTTGGCTTTTGGGGAGTCGGTCTGGATTGTACCTTGGGGAAGATATAATTTCACTGCTTTCTAGGAGAATCTCTTTTCTTACAGACTACATGAGTGTAAATGTCCATCAGTACTTTCTAGTTATGTTTCAGTAAGAAAACTGGGAATAAATTGTTCTGTGCTTCCTTTGTGTATCTCACCTCTTTCCTCACCCAGCTCTCTTTTCTAATCTTTTAATCCCACAGGCAGAGACACTTTGCAGCCTAAAATTGTTCATTTAAGCCGCAACATTTCCCCTACACTTGGAAGCACTCGACTTGGCCACTCAGACCTTAAAGTGCCATCCTCTACCTCCCCATAGGAAACAACAGTAACTGCAGGATGAAGACCAGGAAGTTTCCCTTGCCTTGCAAGTCTATATTACATGAGAAGGCTAGGCTGGTTCCAAAGGAAAAGGACAGCCCATCATCCCCAAAGAATGATAGATAAGGATTAGGTTTAACACTGGAAAACATTTAGAAGCTAAAAGAAAGGCTGCATTCATGGCAGGAATAAAAGGAGCCATTCTTTGGCAAAACATAAAACAGCATCTGTTGCAACAGCTCCAGTTCTGAGCTGCTTTGCATGGCATTCTTTGTTGCCCTAGGATGGCAGCTTCTGTCAGGCCTTTGAGGACATGAAATGATGACAGATAATGGTCCTGTGCCAAGGAACAAGAAAAACATCACATTTTGATGTGCAACTACTTGATTCTCAGCCATCTAAAAATACAGAGGAGGCTGTCTATTACATTTAATGAACTGCCTTGGTAGCACAGAGTGATTATTTCCAGTGGTTCCCTGCTATACCATGCAGCATGAAGAGTGTGCCACCAGAGCTGCCTGGCTTTGAGGGAAAGATGCACTCGAGTGCACAGTATATGCCAGGTGTATCAGAGTGGGATTCTACTCTGGCTCTGAAGCCCTCCCCACTGACATTCTGGCATCATTATTGGCTTGTTCTATGTGAGTTATTCATAACGACAAAGCCCAGAAAAATCCCCATTCAATTCACATATTTGGAGCAGCAACTCATTTTGGTAGTACTTTAACAAGATAATTTAGGAATAAAATGGAAAAATAAAATTTTAAAAAAGCATAATTTTGATTATGACTTACACCCAAGAACTGAAGAACATTTCCTACCACTTACAGATCATTAACAGCTTGGTTGTAAATATTATTAAAAATAGAGAGATTGAGCATTTTACAAGATGAAAGTCAACCTTGTTTGAATGTTTAGTATAGAAAAGCCATAAACATAAAATACATACACATTTTATGATTTCATATTTATTCACCCAGTCTTTTCATATATATATCTGAATAAAGTTGTGGGCACATTTTCTCCCACTTACAAGGTAGGTAATTGATACCAGACATGCCATAAAAAATGTGACTTTGTGTTACTACAAGTAGATTTCATGTCTTTTGCTTTTGATGTCTGAAGCATGAAAAATTCCAGAGAATCTATGCTGTCTGTTTATAGAACCTATCTACTATCTTAATAAGTTGCCAATATTTGCTTCTTTTAAGAAGCCCTCCAGTAAAATATTTATCTACATATTGGAAATTTCACTTAAGCATGTTCTATGTTCTCATAGAGTAAAACTCCAATGGTTTTCCTAATTAAACATTGGTTCCAGGAATTTCCTGGTGTCTAAAATTGTAGCTCAGCTTGTTCATAGTAGGTTATAGGATGAGAGACATACAATTTAATTCAAACCAAAATCTTTAAGGGTGCACCTAGTTTTGGTCATTTTAAAAACAGAAAACCTGAAACAAATGTATGTACATTAACACACTGGAGATTATCAATGATAATCTTAATTTTACACTCATTTTAGTTTGTCTCATGCAGAATGGGAGGCAGGAAAATGTAGTAAGTAAAAAGTCTGTGTGCAGATCGCCTTGCCGTGAATTGGCTTGCTTCTGGGAATTGACCTGGAGGTAGAAATATTTGGGTAAACAGTGACCTGAGCTGTTGCATTGTATCAGACTCAATGCTGGTGGGCGTCAGGAGATCTCAGTTGCATTCCCTCATCCAATTGGGCAGTCCTGCCCAATCTGAGGCTGGGCTATCCTTGAGAACTACGGAGTCACCCTTGGTCAGAGAGGACAGTGTTGAGACAATGGTAAGCTGGGGAGGGATTTGGAAGACATAGCTATAAACTCTATTCACGCTCAGATCTAACTCCCTAAGGACACAAGAATACTGGCAGGCACTTGCAGTATAAGGTCAGGGGCCACACACCTTGTGCCTTGGACTGTGAGACTCCTTACAGTGCACCATGGTTAGGAAAGTAGCCTTCGTGGCTTCAGTGGTGCATAAAAAGTCTTTCTGGTGAGTTTTTCCCATTTGTGAAGGGAAATAAATAAATAAAACGTATCACTTTTAATCTTCTCACTACTAAGAAAGAATCTATTCTTTGTTTTGGCAAAAAGAATCTATTTCCCTACTGAGGGAGACAGAATAGAAGCTTTTGGCTTGTATTTCCAATGGAGATTAATTTTATTAATTATTCACTTGACATGAAGATGAACAAAAGAAAAAATTCTTTCAGTTGGTTAAGAATACTTTCCTGTCTCCTTCCAGGAACTATATAATATTCAACACAAATGTTATTGTTAAACCCTTGAAGGATTTCAACAGATAATCACTTCAGACATAATTTCCCCAAAACTTCCTTTTCTGCATGAGTTGAAAGAGTGTGTAAGTATGGTATTCAAAGGTACACTAACTGGACAATCTGGGTTGAGTGCTCAGCTCTATTTACATCAAAACTAACAGATGGCTGGATTTGGAAGATCACAGAAACTGTTGTGTTCCTGCGTGAGAATGTCTCAGATTCAAGAACAAACTTTGGTAGGAGTCATAACGTACATCAAATATCAATCTTTCCTTGTAGGCATATAGAATGGCTGTTGAACAGTTCTCTTTACTATGCCTCACTTTAAATAAAAAGTTGTTTTCTGCTTAAGAAAACTGTAATAGAATAGTAATATGATATTTAAAAAAGAAAAAATGTAAAGATAACTATGTAAATAAAATTATCAATCAGAGGGGGACAATGTAAATAGAAGCTCTAAAACCTAAAAGTGTCCTTACATTCAATTATGTAGTATTCACATTAATTAAATACTTTGTGCCATATCCTCTGGTTATTTTATCACAGTATTCTTAACAGTCGTGTGATATGAATATTAATATATTAAACTTTAGAGACAAAGATTTGCAACTCAGACTATTAAAAATCAAACTTAGCAATAATAGATGAAGAATTTGAGTTTCTCTAATTCCCAAATTCTCATTCTCTGCCTCTGTCATGCCATGGCACAAAGCCTCATGTTTATCGCTTAGAAATGTTCAACTTTAGGGTGCTCAGAACATTGCAGGGTTAAAGGGTTAAAACTGGGATACAGATTTACCTTCCTCAGCAACTTTTTTGGCTCCTGGGGCAAAATATCAGTTTGATTTCCTGTACATGAAATACCTGCCTGACCTGGAGAACTCGGCACCCAAGAAAATGTGTTTATCGAGGAGCCAAGTCCTCTAAGGCTTGGCCTCAGAGGCCAAGTGAAGGTCAGAGCAAGACTGCCCTGCATTGCTTCAGCAGGCGATTCCACTGCAGTGACATGGAGCATCAAGAACATCCAGCAGCTTAGCGACATGGAAACTGGTTTCCTAATTCAAACAATAGCACTAACCAGAGCCAAAGAGTCTTTGTTAGAAGAAAGAACTAATTGTTTAGGCTTGTCATGTCCTAACAGTTAATAGCACAAAGGGTATATTCAAAGTGGAATGGTACTTTCCCTGTCTCACAAAATAAGGGACAACACCCACAGATATTTAACAGAGCTCATTCCTCAAAGGACTCTGGAAACAGTGCTTGTTTAAGAGCAAAGTTACAGTTGCAATTCGTGACAGAATACTCTGTGTGTTTTAGCAATTCTAGTGGTGTATCTGTGTGGCACATTACAACATAAAGAATTCCCGAGCAGCTTCATGTACTTTCCTTTGCTGATGACAGAAGCTGAGGACTTACCTTTTCATCCACAAAACAATGGTTCCTTTGCAAATCTGAAATCTGAAATTTGTTCTGTCACAAGAACTTCATTAGATTCAAGAGTTTTTTTCCAGTCATTATTTTCTAAATTCTGAGTCATATCTGAAAGATGTCAAAATTTAAACTTTAGGTTCTTGCTCTTTACAGACTTATTCTTTTATCATAGCCTCCCTACTTTGCCATCAGTGAGACTCAAAATAAATTGAGTCATAAGTTTGTAAGACAAGACCTAATGTTCTGCATGATGCCATGAAATACATTCAGAAAAACTAAAATATTTGAAACTTTCAAACCTACTGACAATAAACTCAGTGAAAGTGATACAGAGGAATTAAATATTAGAACAAGTGATACAAATGAATAAAAGCTGTTGGAGATAAAGTTTCTGTATTAATCAGTTTGTCACCTTTGTGAATAGTAAGTGATTTGATTTTATTCCATCTAAAATCGCTCCATTGTGATCCTCTTTGGAAACTTTTTGGGTATAGTTACAGTGTTAGCTAGAGTGAAAAACAATCACATTTAAATGGAATCCTTCATTGATAAAAATATTTTAAATATTATATGTATGCTTAACTGAGATGGTATATTACAAAATGCTACCACTTCAATAAAGTTTAAAAATATGCAGAAGGATGCATATTTGCTTTACTTTGGCTCAATAGTTCAGGGACACTAAATAGAAGCCTTAAATATCAGCTTTCAAGGATAGTGTCTTTCCAGGATATATGTTTATATGTAAGTATAACTTAAATCCATAAACCCTTAAACAAAACTCAAGCTGGAAAACTTATTTTTCAAATAAAGTCTAGGCATTGTGTTCCAATGAAAGGTTGTGTTTACTATCATTTTTAGTTATGTCTATACAAGTGAAATAAAGCACACTATTCCTCTTTGTTCATTCTTATTATCCTTATCTTTGATGTGGTTGCTTGGGTGATGACTGATTTGGCTTCAATTGATTGCTATTGATTGACCAAAATGAATAGATGAAGCTCGTATTGATTTATAACAATGTATAGTAGAGCATAATTTTCCCTAATCATGTAATACTGTATTTAGTGATTGACTACAAAGTAGAGCATTCTACAAACTGTAATTTATCTCAATTTTAAAGAAAAAATTTTGACTATGGAAGCTTCTGTGCTGTGTCTAAATATGTAGAGTAAATTCACCTACACAGATAAAAAGAAAAGCCGAGTCTTATTGATTTAAAGTGTCTTTTTTTAGTAAAAAATTTAAAAAAGGAGATTAAGATAGAAGAGGACATAACAACATAATAACACAGGTCAAAACCGAACAATTTAAGTAACATATTGTTGCACCACAAGATAACCCGACATAACAGTAGCTACCATAGTGTCTCTTTTCTTGAAATATTTGAGCATAACTTCGTATATTATAGCATAAAACACATGACAGTGTAAAACCATTCAAGAGATAGAAAGTATTATAGGGTATTTAGAACCAACTAACAGAAAATGAACAATGGTTTCTATATTATCTCCTTGTCTATAAAAAATTTAGTTTATACTATCACATACAATAAAATCCAATAAGATACACTATGATAAACTAATGGAGATAGAAGAACAAAAGCTTCATGGGACTTCAAAATAAGGTGATATTAAATCAAGACTAGCTATTATATTGTCTGGTTTTCTTCAAAATAATTGTTCATACCATCACACACAATAAAATCAACAACCCAGAATAGAACCATTCCAATTAATGAAAACATTATAAGGCTTCAACGCAATATAATGGGGAATCATGTTTACCACATAATTTTATGTATTCTTAACATTTCTTACACTAGGGAAACTATTTGGTATTCATACATGTGAGTTTGATTTATTTCGCTTATGAGTCTGGTCTCAATCTGCGTCCATTTATTTATAAATATCTCAATGTGAAAATTCTTTATAGCTGAGTAGTACACCATTGCATAAAAATACCACAACTTTTTTATCCATTCTTCAGGTGATGCACACTTAGGTTGTTTCCAAGATCTGGCGATTACAAATTGTGCTGCTATAAACATGGGTGCACATATATCACTGGGTAATGATGCTTTCAGTTCTTCTGGGAATATGCCTAGGAGTGGAATAGCTGGAACAAATGGGACTTCCAATCTCAGCTTTTTGAGAAATCTCCAGACTGACCTCCACAATGGTTGCACCAATCTACACTTTCACCAACAGTGCAAGAGAGTTCCTTTTTCCCTACGGCTTCTCCAGCATTTGTTGTTGGTAGTTTTCTTGATCCTAGCCATTCTTTCAGGAGTGAGATGGAATCTCAGTGTGGTTTTAATTTACATTTCTCTAAAGAGTAATGATGCTGAACATTTTTTCATGTATTTATTTGTCATTTGTATTTCTTCATCTGAGAATTGTGTATTCATCTCAGATGCCCATTTTTGGATTGGATCTTTGAATTTTGGGGGTCTGATTTTTTTTTAATTCTTTATATGTTTTAGACAGAAGTCCTTTGTCTGAGGGACAGTTCACTAAGATTTTTTCCCAGTTTGTGGTTTTTCTTTTCACTATGCTCGAGATTTCTTTTGACATGCAGAAACTTTTGAATAAGAGGCGATTCAAGTTAATTGATTTTGGGAAGCATTTCCTATGCGGTTTGATTCCTGTTCATGAATTCTCTACTTACCCCTATGTCTTCAAGGTTTTTACCCAATTTGTCTTCCAGGAGATTTAGTGTTTCTGTTTTAATATTCAGATCTTTGAGCCATTTAGATTTTAATTTAGCACATGGTGATTGACATGGGTCTAGTTTTAGCTGTTGGCATGTGGAGAGGCAGTTTTTCCAACATCATTTAGAAACTGTTGTTCTTCCAGTGAACATGTTTGGCCCTTTTATCAAAAATAAGGTGGTTGAGTATGTTTGTAGTTGTGCTTGTATCTTCTAATCTATTCCATTGATCTTCGGCTCTGTTTTGATTCCAGTACCATATTGGTTTTACTACAGTTGCTTTGTAATATAACTTCAAATCATGGACTATGAGGCCTCCTGCCTTGCCTTTGCTGCTTAGAACTGTCTTTGCTATTCTAGGTCTCCTCTGATGAATTTGAGGAGTGACTTCTCTAGATTCATAAGGTATGTTGATGGTATTTTTATTGGGATTGCATTGAATCTGTATAGCAGTTTTGGGAGAACAGCCATTTTGAAAATATTTATTCTTCCTCTCTATGTGCAAGGGATTGTATTATAATTTTCCCTATATAGCTCTTTCACTTCGTTTGTGAAAGTAATTTCTAAATATTTCATTTTTTGGTTGCTAGTGTGAAGAGTGTGGCTTCTCTTATTTCTTTCTCTGTGATTTTGTTGTTAGTGTATAGGAATGCTATTGGTTTTTGAGTATTGATTTTGAATCCAGCCACATTGCTGAATTTATTTATTATATCTGGGAGTCTTTCAATGGAGTTTTGCAGGTCTTCTATGCAGAGTATCATATCATCTGCAAATAATGATAATTTAACTTCTTCTTTTCCTATCTTCATGCATTTTATTTCTCTCTCTTGTCTAATTGCTCTGGCTAGTACTTCCAGTACTATATTAAATAGAAGTGGTGATAAAGGACACCCTTGTCTTGTGCCCGATTTTAAAGTAAAGCCCTTCAATTTTTGGCATTTAGTATGATACTGGCTGTTGGTTTGTCATAGGCAGCCTTTATTATATTGAGGTAAAGACCATCTATTCCAATTTTCTGTAAGGTTCTTATCATAAATGAATGATGGACCTTATCGAAAGCTTTTTCTGCATCTATAGAAATGATCATGTGATTCTTACTTTTGGCTCTATTGACATGGTGGATTACATTTATTGATTTACGTATGTTGAACCATTCCTGCAGGCCTGGGATTAATCCCACTTGGTCATGGTGTATGATCTTCTTGATGATTTGCTGCATCCTATTTGCCAATATTTTATTGAGGATTTTTGCATCTGTGTTCATTAGGGAGATTGATCTGTTGTTCTCTTTTTCAGTTGGACCCTTCTCAGGTTTTGGTACTAGAGTAATATTTGCTTCTAGGACCAATTTAGGAAGGATTGCTTCCCTTTCAATTTCATTGAAGAGTTTGAGAAGTGTCGGCATTAAGTCTTCTTTGTATTTCTTGAAGAATTCTGCAGTGAATCCGTCTGGGTCTGGGCTCTTCTTTGTAGGTAAGGACTTAATTACGTTTTCAATTTCATTCATAGAAATTGGGTTATTCAGCAGTTTTACATCTTCTTGACCTATCTTTGGTACTTCATATGTTTCTAGGAATCTGTCTATTTCTTCTGTGTTATCAAACCTTTGAGAGTAGAGGTTTTAAAAACAGGCATTTATGATCTTCTGTATTTTTATAGGGTCTGTAGTGATTTTGCCTTTTTCATTCCTTATTGCATGAATTTTAGCTTTTTCTTCTCTTTTTTAATGAGGTTGGCTAGGGGCTTATCGATTTTATTTATTCTTTCAAAGAACCAACTCTTTAATTCATTGATTTTTTGGTTTTCTTAGTCTCTATTGCATTGATTTCTGCTCTGATTTTTATTATTTCCTCTCTTCTTTTGGCTTAGGGCTTGACTCACTCTTCTTTTTCTAGATGTTTGAGGTGTAACATCAGGTTATTTATTTGTATTCATTCTGTTTTCCTGATGTGGGAACTCAGTGCAATAAATTTTCCTCTGAGGACAGCTTTCATTGCATCCCACACATTCTGGTAAGCTGTTTTTGTGATTTAATTTGTTTGTAGGTATTGTTTAATTTCTTCTTTAATTTTCTCTGTGACCCACTGATTACTCAAGACTGTGTTATACAGTTTCCATGTGTTGGTGGGATTTTTGCAGTATCTTTTATCATTAATTTCTAATTTCATAGCACTATGATCCGATAACATGTATGAGATAATTTCACCCCTCTGCATTTATTTAAATATTTTCTGTGAGTTAATATATGGTCTATTTTAGAGAATGACCCATGTACTGATGAGAGGATCATGTATTCTATTGTTGTTCAGTGAAATACTCTCTATATGTCTATCAAATCCATTTATTCACAGGTGTGATTCAGTTCTTTTATTTCTTTGCTGATTTTCTGTCTGGTT